AGATACCATACCCAAAAGGAGGATGGTATCTTACTCTGCTTTGGGTACCATAGTATCCCCAAATAAAATACTACTCTTGTGGACATGCCTCTGGGCTTGGAGCAAAGCGGTGATGCTGAAGCCCCAAAGATCCCAAAGCGTACCTCCACGTCGTTCTCGCGAGTCGAGGTGAAGCCCTGGAGGCGGACGCGGCCACCTCGCTGCAAACCCAGGCCTCGATTGGCACAGAATCACTCCCATTATAGTAGTTTCCATTTTCTTTTTCATTATCCCAGTGGGGTAATACAGGGTAATTTAGGGATAATGGAAAAGAAAATGGAAACTACTATAATGGGTTCTGCCGTAAGCTTTCTCGCAAGCAGCAAAAACTGTTTGGTAGCGAGCACGACTCATGCTCTGCATCCCTGAGGCAAGTTCTTCGTGAAAATGTGCGTGCAGCAGCACCGCTAAAGACCACTTTCACATTGCCAGCGGCTGTCCTCAGTTGTACCTGCAAAGGCAAAACGGGCGCAGTGAACCCTGTGCTCATGGAAAGATTGGTAGAAGGCCAGGCCTGAAATCCCTGAGCTCGCCTGGCCGCAATCAGGTCCTCACACTCAAAACTGCCTTCCTCAACTCTCATGCTTGACAAGCGAATTGCTCGCCCGCAGCCTCCTGGTTGCTCTCCATGCGCTCTTCGACTGTCCCCTTCCCGCAAGCGGACTTGATCACTGCCAGAAACTCTGAAAGAGTCACGAGTCTTTTGCACATCTCCTGCTGAAAACGGTGTCAAGACACGGATTGTAAATTGCAGCTGAACCACTTTGCGCGGTGGCATGTCGGGAGCTCTTATTGCTGTCTTGGTTTCGTTGAATTGTTTTGCACAATGTGCTGTATGAGCTGCAATTGAAACTGACGCACGGCGACTTGCAGCTCATCCAGTCCGGATTGGGTGTTGCTGGAGTGATGTGAGGATGGCAAGCTGGATGCCGATCCGCTTGGAAGTTCAGCAAATGCTCCAAATAAAGCTGTTCGTGTTGAAGAGCTTAAGAAAACGCTTGTGCAGAATGATGTTGCAGAAGCCTAGCTAGGCCCCTGTCGCTATTATGGGTGAAAGAGGAAAGGGTTCTCCCTCCGTCATGTCGTGTCTCCACACAATTCAAGCTTGCACGTTTTTCTCGTGGAGCTTTGTTTGGCACTTCTCTGGAAAGCGGCGGTCACATGATCTACATAACGTCAGTAGAGTTGTACAGGGACAAGTCCACTGACGGAGTCAGCCTTACGCATGCCAGCCTCCACGCACACCTTGCTCTTGGAGGAGCGCGCGCTCAAAGCAAACTGCGGTCAGGGGCTGGATGCTTTCCAACAGCATCTTTATTGACTTCAGGCGAGCAAGCAACCTAGACCTCATACCACCCCACCAAACCTGTTCTCATCCAAGTCAGCACATCCTTTTCAACTGTTTTCACGGCTGATGCAGTCTGATATCTGTGCCTGCCGAAGCAACCGGTCCCGAGAGGCTTGGTGGTGGCCCTTCCTTAACGTTGCAATGAGCTTCCGTCATCACCACAGAGAGTTCTAACATGGCTTTCAAGCGTACAGATTTGGAATCTTGCGAAAATTACGCCACGCGGCGAGCACCTCTCCTTTTTTTTCTTGGACTTCGATTGGTCAGCCTGCTGTACCTGCGTTGATGCCGGCCTCTCTCCTGGCTTGGAAAACGGCTCGAAATTCATTACTCTTGGTACATTTTCCGATATATTTGACCATCCACCCTGAGAAAGTCCTTGAGGAGTCGCTGTTGTTTCTTGCCGCTCTACCCCCAACGCAGCCAGGATGTTGTACCTGCACAGCTAGAAGCTTCTTGGCCAAGCCCCAGGCTCTGAAGCTAACAGTGTCCTCAACACCAATGCACGTCACTACACGATGCAGACAGTGCAGAAGCTGCAGCTCACCGGCGCTGTTTGGGGTGTTCAATAGGTCCGCTTTGGACCGGTGCGGCGTTCTCCTTGGCTGCCCCACCTGTTGCTCGAGCAACAAAAATGCACCAAATGGATGTCGTGAATACTTGCGCCTTCGCTAGGTGCAGCAGCCGAGCATGAGGCCTCAGCATTGATACAAACATCTTGCCACTTGCTGCGACTTTGTGCTAAGCTGCTGGGATTCGTGCTACTTGTTGTTCCGAGACTGCAATGTCTCATAGCACATAGTGCAATGACACGCAAAACCCAACAAACACTGGGACGTTGCGCAGCGAAACCACTCTGTCAACTCTTGTCACTTCCTAGGCGAGTCCCGCAGACCGAAGCTGAACCCTCATAATCTCAAATGAAACATCACGCCAATTCTCCATCAGCAATCGTGCCAATCTGCTTGTTGCAACGGCCTGGCTGCTCGCGATGACGGAACAGACGCTCACAAGTACCGGGTAGAAGGAGAGCTTCTAGCCAGGAACAGTCTCGTCGGGTCCATTGTCGCCGTCCGTTCGGCTTGGAGATATAACTGCGACTATGCTAAATCAATTATCCCAGCTGCATACTGCAGCGTTGCAAGGCAACCCTCTAGAAGCTGGCAAATCAAGCCGTGGAAGCAAGAGGACGCAACCTGGCAGTCGTAGCCAACCCTGTCCTCACACTCTTTGAAGGACTTTCCCAGTTGAGAGCGCGTCCAGGAGGGAATCGGAGGCTCGCCAGTCCCAGTCCACAGAAGAAGCTGACTCTTGGGCTTGGCGGCCAGCAAGTCAAGCAACGGCTCCGGATTTCGAAGCGCCAGCCGGGCGTTTACAGCAAAAACCAGCCCTTGGTTTGCCTTACAGTCGCTGCAGGCCGCGAGCATTGAGCTTATGTCGTCGTTGGTGTAGGCATCTCCCCAAGCCCGTGAGACTCGCCAACCAAGACTCAAAGCGATTCCTGGACAGTGCTGCCGCACTGCAGCAAAAAAGGAAGCTGCTGGAATTGGACAGGACTGACGGCGTCGATTCGGACCAGGCAGTATGTCCGCGTTTATCCAAACAACCTGACCTTGATTGTTAAGCACCACCTTGACAGCTGCCACTTGAGGCAAGCAAAGCTGCAGGGATTGCAGATCTTTGAAGTCAAGTTTCAGGTGGTGTCGGGCGTCCTGCACCAGCCGATCTAAGAAGCACTGAAATGACAAGTCCGATGTTGTAGAGGGCGGGTGCGCCATTATCGCGATCTTGCAAGGTTGTGGACCAGGGCTGTGGCGCAGGACGCCCATCAAGACATCTGCTTCTATTGCGGTCATGCCAGGTCGTCTCAAAGCTGCCTCAAGTTGCTCCTTGCTGCAGCACGAGTGTTCCCAGACTTGCTGCGGGGTTGGCAAGGGAATCCATGGCACCGCGTCAGTGCGGTCTTGCTCCATGATGCCTCCCAAATTTGCTTGATGGCCACATGCAGAGATACTCCGAGAGGATTTGGTCAGGGACACTCTGCCTATGCATGCTGCATGCTCTAACATCTGCTGTTAAGAAGCTCTGAAGGGCAGGCTTACATTCGCTCCTCTTCATGCTGCCTCGCAAACTTCCAAGGTCCCTGCCAAAGATCTGAGCGTGTTCGCTTTAGAACATCTTGGCGCCAGTCGTGTTCGTTTGACACCTGCCACGGGCTTGAAGGCGGGCCCTGGCTTCGGCGTTGCTCGTGTTTGTGTTCTGGGGCATTTTCAGGCCATGGGCTTGACCTGGCCTTCCTGCAGCACAGAAGCCAAAGGCGGTGACGCTTGCGAGCAAAGGATGGGATCCTGTCTGCAAATGACTGGTGAAAGATCTTCCCTGGCTGCTAGGCACTAGTCACTAGTCTGCTCTGCAATTTCTGCATCGCCTCCGGCAACTCAGCGCCCCAGCCAGCAGGGCGCTTCACAGGCTTCAGGGCCCTCAGCGCTAAGGCCTGCAAGGCATGACTACGGCTACTGAGAAGTTGAAGATCAAACCTCACGACACACCTACATGGTTCACGTAACTTCAAAAACGCTCCACGGCCTCATCGGTTGGAAGGCCATTGCCGCGGAAGCTTGAAGTCCGGCCCATGGCCCAAGGCGCCCCCCTCGAAACCGCTGAGACAAAATGGCAACAGTAAAGTATGCCTGCTTGGAGCTCAGCTGGTTCTCATCCGTGTCTGCAAGCAATCTGCCGAGGCCGGAGGCGTGGGGCATACGTTTGGATCTGAGGCCTCGGGGTGAGGTACCTGTTCTCACGAGCTCGCACCCCTTAACCTGCCTCCCAGGAAGCCCTGAACGTTTCAGGTCACTCGCATGATGAGGCGATTTCAGAAAGCATCCTCAATTGTTCCAGCAAAAGCCATGACAAGCCGCTTGCCATGAGCAAGCAGGCCCTTCTCCCATGCTGGTAGTTGGTGAGTGCTAGGCAGCTAGACTGGAAACCGGCAAGTGCCCGGAAGGTCAGCGCCTGCAATTTTGCAGCATTGTCAGCGCTGTCCCGCTGCAGCACCAGGGCCAAGACGAAGTACGTAACAATTGGGGCCTAGGCCTAGGCCAAATAAGGAGGCTTCAGTGCACCACCAGTTCAGATAAAGAGTTCTAAAGAGCACGTCGTCAATTATTTCGACGACCCTGATGGCCCAAGCGAAAGATTCGGCAGCCCCTCAAGTCAGACAGAAGTTGAGCAACACGTGCAACAATGCTTTGCCGTTGACCCTGATGATCATATTCCCGCTAACATGACTCTCACCCACCCTACATATAAAAAGGCTTGGGGCACCTGAGGATCCGTAAATGCCCTGAAGACTACCTTTAAAGGCAATCGTTAGGGCCGTTAGGGAAAGACCACTTGCCGACATAACATCACATAGCACGCCATTAGAAAAGGATCATAGGTGCAGCAATGATCATCTCTTAGAAATTCCATCTTGTTCGCAGCTGCGTTCGAAGCCCAATGCTTGCACATGGTATGCTGGCCGCAAACTCTGACACCCAAACACTTCAGAGCTCCCGCGCGGCAACCATGATTACCTGTCCCGCTGAAAAGCCACCCCACGTGAGCTCACGACAAGGCGTTGGTCGGTGTAAATAAATCGAAATTGGTGCCCAATGTAGATTTTGCGAGTTCACGTGTCACAAGCACTCGCACTCCCACCAACCTAGACCCAAACCAGAACCAAAAAACATGCGGGCAACACGAGCTCACGAGCAAAAAACATCATTCTGTTGGTTGGATTGCGGGGGGGGGGGTGGCAACAAGGCCAAGCCTCTCATTATTATTGTTGTTATTATAGATAGGGTTCTTCTTATTGGGGAGGGCTGCAAGGAAAATGCTGTAAAGAAAGCATGAATGCTCTCGCTTGTAGGTTCTTACAAGTCTACCAGCTTCTTCAGTGCTCGCTTGGCGCAAGAAACCCAGATCACTGAGCTGCGTCACTACAACTGGAAATACGAAGCTAAGGCGTTGCACACAAGACACGCTGCTGGAAGAGGAAATTACGTAAATTGGTCCATAGGATCAATTTACTTAAACTACTCGGCCTCGTCGCGAAGGTACGATGTGCTGCCAGCAGTTTTTTTTCCAGTAGGTTCCAACTTTGTTACCTTTGAGAAGAGAACCTTTAGGAAAAAGCCAGTGTATAATACTCTTCAAGCCCGCTGGTTGGTGTCAACAAGGTGTATGTCACATGTCTTCTGACACTGCCCTATTCCCCGAAATATCAAAATTACACTGCCCAAAGGGTGTGGAAGTGGGCTCCCTTGGTTTTTGTAGCATTTCCGCTGGGCTCCCTGTGGGCTCCCTCTACTTGAGTATACGTCCAAACAACTAAAAGCGTGAGACCGGCGCACTACAAGTAGCATCCAGGTAGGGACTCAGGGAAACCCAACGTCTCCTTGCCTGGGAACTGCACGCTACGAGCTACAGCGCAGGGACGGCCAAACGGAAGTTGGCAAGGCTCGGCAAGTGAAGGGCATCGACGGTGACTGGGAAAGATGGAGGGAGGGGGCAGGAGAGGACGAGGCATGATATGGCAGTGCGGCGGTGCGCGGAGCAACACTGGAGCAACTAGCGACAAGGCGCGCCACTGGTCGCGGCTCAGGCGCGGGCTCAGGCAGACGCCGGAGCACCGCGCGGGCGTTCTGAGGCTGCATCGCGACAGCGAGGGACTCATAAAGAAGGCTGGCTTGAAAGGGCAGCTGTCTCGCCAGAGCAAGCAGCAAGAGCTTGCGCAAGCGCCTGCCCAGGTCTTGAGCGCAGCAGGTCCTATCCACCTTGGTTTTTACAGCATTTCTGCTGGGCTCCCTTGGTTTTTTTGCAGCATTTCTCCTGGACTCTGGCTTTCTCCCAATGGTGGTTCGGATGTCAGGTCACAAAGCTTCGAAACTAGCTCCAAGGCCTTGCAAGATGTTGAAGATGTTGCTGGTCTCAAATCATGCTGCGCTCCAATCATGCTGCGAGTCAGAATCTTTTCGCATTTTTTTAGCAAGCCAGTGTCACTGCATACCGCTCATTTGCTTCCATCCTTGCCATCATTCGACATTCTGCTCGTCGCCTGCGGATCTTTATGCTTGCTGCTGCAAATAGTCTTGCGCCCCACGCAAGGCTGACTCTGAATCTTGCTTTGTGTCCAGGCCTTTCCTTGCAAATCAGTGCCAGCCGGTCGCAGTGACACAAGCTTCACTTGTGCACCGGCGTCTGCAATGACCTGCGCATTCTGCGTTCTGCGAAGTCTTGTAGAGCAACGACAGGAAACGACGTGAAGCAACGCCTGCTTGGACTTGTGCTTAGCCCTGGCAATGCCCATTCTTTTGGCCTTGTCAAGCTCAGAGCGGCATTCGGCAACTAAACAGACGGCTTTGGCCTCCACATCGTAGACGGTGTAGAACGCTCTTAGAAAAGGCATGCCCAGGACAAAGATTGCTCCTGAAAAGGCGTGCTTGGGGATTTGCTGTTGAGCCCCCTGACCAGGTCCTCTGCCAGTGTCACCCACAGGCATCAGCTGAGCCCAGCAAGTCCCCTGGCCATCCTTACAATGACACGGGGTGTGCGGCTGTGCCTTACCCGGAACATTCTGCACCAATCGCACCAAGCAATATGAGGCATCGATATGAAAACCTCAAAGTGCCAAAGCTCGGCTTGCTCTGGATCAGATCGATCGATATACTCATCAGCCTCCATCTCGAAGTTTTGAGTGCCAATCCTGGCGCTTAAGCTACTACATAATGCCACATACGCCTGAACTTGTTCTAACCTGACCTCAGCTCTCTTTAAATGGCTGGGTGACTGGCCGAATGCCAAGCTTCGGGAAGTGCCTAGATGCCGCACAAGGCATCTGGGTCCCCTCCTTCGACGTGAGAGGAGACGGAAGTCTTCCAGAGCTATACAGGAGCTCTTTAACTCCGAGGCCTTGAAGGTCAGCAACTCTAAGATAGCATCCAAATCTTCTCTAGGCCCCATCCTCAGAAAAATGCAGCAAGAAGATCTAGTTGTCGCAGACATGCACCTGTGTGTACATCATCAATGCTTGACTTCAGCTCGCCACACAAGTGAGCTTCCGGTGTCCAGAACTGCCTGGCAACGCTTCTCAGCGTGCTTCGCGCCTGAAAAATCTGAAAAGAGGCTGTGTTTGTGATCCCGAAGACTCGTAGAACCCTGCAAGCAGGCCATCCGAAGCAGAGGCACACAGGCCGGTTGTCTTGCCGTCGACCGTAATGTCGTCAAACTGGAACTGCCAGTAACCTACAATCTGCAGTCACTCGTCAGGCTTCAACACTGACGATTTTGTTTGCAGCGGGTGTGGCCTTCTTTGGAAACATTGATCCAATGCAGCGCGGACCTCGTTTTCACGTTCCCACTACGAAAATCTACGAAAGGGAGAAGCTCTTGGACTTGCTGCACGAGGAGGAAGATGCGGAAGTTTCCAATTCCAAGTCTAAGGTCCAGGCGACATGCGAGAGTCGTGGTAGTCCCCAAACGTAATTTCAGCCTCATCTTCCACCTTGCGCCTCATGCAGGATCATGTCCGGCCCATTGAGAGCTTCACAGTGCAGCAGTGTAAGCCTCTAGCCCCAGGTAGACTGAAAAAACAGGCTTTTTCATGGTGCCATCGTACAGACCTCCTGGAGGAGACATGTGCCACAACGCCAACGACTGGAATTGGAAAGCACGCCGCTAACACGCTTGAGGTGTCCTTTCAGGAGGTTCTGCGCAACATTAAACTCCGTGTTTTCGTTCAACGACTGGCATCGCATGTGCAGCTTGAACGCAAACGATCGCAACTGCCATTAACCAGCAATGACTTTTCCGGCTGCTGTTTGGTGCTGTTCTGCAATCTAGAAGGCTTTGCACGTCCAGCTTCTATTTTTGTGTTCCACTGCGCCTGTGCAGCCGGCCCCTCTGTAGATTTCCGCTGTCGCGCCCAGAATATGCAATTATCCAAACGTGGGGTTGGGTAGGGGCCTGCCTGTGCCAAGCCGAGCACACCATCCCATTCTGCAGCGGCGAAGGGCTCCTTCGACCTCGTCTGTGACAACCCAGTAATTCGACAACTCTCTTTCTCAGCAGCCTTCGTGCAAAGTATAGATGTACCCTCGCATGTGAGCCAACCCGCACAATGGCGAGCTGCCGGTACACGAATCTGAACTTCTGGCTGCAGGTTCTGACGTGTTCTATTTAACTGCGCCCAGGTTTTGCATGTCAGTGGGATCCATGCTTCTCTGAAGTAATGTGGCTGAGTGTTCCACATCGCTGCAGGCAGATGGTGATGGATAGCAGCTTTGGCATGCCAAGCAGCGTTCATAGTGTCTCACGGGCTTGAACTGACGTTTGCGGTTCACGCCCTGAGTTCACGCCCTGAATTCCCGGAAGGGACGGCCCAACAGAGAAGGAGGCGGGCCGGGCGCCAAAATCCAAAATGTTCATGACAGTGAGGATGTTTTGCTGCGTTTGGCAGTGCTTGCACTGAACTTTCAACTTCCGCAACTGTCACATACATGCATGGAGTTGACTACCGTGTGCACTTTGGCAACCTGAGCAAATGCATTCCAAATGTTCGTTGCAGGCATGTTGTATTTATGCGACTTCGACCACCAACGATGCCTACCCACTATGCTGGAAGGTCTGGAATCTCATTGGGAAGTGTCATCATGGTCATGAAGGTGTGCGCATAAGTTTCAACCGACAGGTGTCTTGGCAGAGCAAAACTCATACTACTCCATCTAGTGGATGACGGCTGCTCTCAGAGACACATTGCCAAAACCCGGGCCCGATACAGTCGTTGTAACCCAAAACATGTTTGCCCCAAACTTCGTGTGAGGCTTTGTCGGGTCGCACCTCTACTTGAAGTTGTCCGACAAAATGAAGTCTACGTGAGAACACAAAACCCTGCACAACAACAACATGGCCGGAATATGTTGGAATCTGATGACTCAGCACTGACAACTCCACAAGTACATGAGGGATGCAAAGTGTTAAGAAGCCAAGACATACACACGTGACCCTGAGAGAACATTTGCAGGATCGGATTCTTCATGCGCCGTTGACCTTCCAAATCTCCAAATGCATTTCAGGTGGCAAGGTCAAGAGCGAGAATTGTCGCAGAAGCTCGTGAGTCTCAGCCATACTGGAAACTAAAAAGGACAGCAACATGTAGCGACATGCCGATGACCTCAAACACGGCATGCCTCCGATTTGGCAGATCAGCTATTCGCAATTGTCTTGCTCGCCAATCTCTCAAATAGCATTTTGAAGCTTCCTGCTTATGTGGGTATACAGCTCATCTTGCACACATCCCTTCAAGTCAAAGCACAAGCCGTGATAAAGCCTACAGCCTACGGCCTGAACTCCCAGCGATTTCTAGATGATGTCTCTCTCGACTGGTCTGGTTGGACAGACCCGCGGAATTCTGCACAGTAACTTTGCGTTTGCGGCGGACTGTCCTTGAAACCAAGCATAGCCCCGCAGCAGAGATGCGGGAAAGGAAAGTAGTGCAACCCAACTGGCCCATGGGACCCATCAATGCATGCCTTAGTCTGCGGACCCCGCATTTTGACAGTAGAGTTTCCCTCCAGCATTTTTAGTGACAGGATGCCACGGGCACGGATTGCAGTTAGGAGAACTGCTGCAGCTTTTGTGTGTTGGCCTGCGACACAATGCCCCTTTGGCCGCATGACGATACATTCTGCAAATGCGTGCCTGACATGGAACGTGGATGCATTCAAGGAGACCAGGCAAGTGGGTCGGCGTCTGAATCGTGAACTAAAACGTTTGAGTCGTATCTCACCCATGATCGTGAACAATAATGTCTGAACCGTGAACTACGCATAAAGCGAAAGAAAAAGCTGAATGGCGAATTTGAAAAAGCTGAATCGTGCACTCAAGGAAATCGTGAACTAGAAGTCCTGAATCGCAAGCTAAAACGCGGCATTGTGAAGGGGTGGCATTAACATATGTCTCTGGAGTTTCTCTGTGTCCCACCTTCTTGCACGGCGAAAAGGGGTGGTCTTCACGAATCTTTTCATGATATTGAATTCCCACAGCCCCTAGTAAGGCGTACGCCTTCTGATGTTTTGTTTTCTGCAGGCTCAAACCCACCATTTCAATGACGGGCACTGTGTGTGCGCCGGTGTGTGTTGCCATGTGTTGCCCCACAATGCTGTGTTACGACATGTTACAACTGTGCCGCGGGTATACGCCTCTGAAGCATGAGCATAGATTGCACAGCTTAGCATAGGTATGCATAGGATGCAGAACCGGGGCTGCCGGTGCAAGAATCGCGAAACACGTTAACACGTAGGAAGCAGAGGAACTGTCATCAATCAAGCGACTTTGAATTTGTCAAGATGCCCTGCGCTGTGATGCGCTTGTGTGTGTGTGTGTATGCGTGTTCAGCTGTTTGATGTTCCTTCTGGGCATGGAGCAGAGTGGAACCTCAGACACATCTGTCACAGTTCGTGACCATGCACAGCGGATCACAACGTGCATCCATCACATTTTGCCATTGGACTGCGAGTAGCGCAGAGGATCCCGTGGTAGCACTTTGCAGTGTCTATGTTTATTGTTGCGCCGTGGCTATTTAAACCTCTAAATTTGAAGGCGGCATTTTAGGCTATGTATACCATGGTGCCATAGTTGTTGATTCGGGGATTGCAGTGTGTGGTTTGGGCAGCGTAGTTCGTGATTCGGCAGATTCGTAGCTTGTGTTTCAGTATGGTGGAGGCAACATGATCGAGCATTCCTTGTATCATGAAATCGGGTCTGAGAGGTGCCGACTCCTCGGTCATCTCAACGAAGTCCGCGAAGGCACATGCTGTACCCAGGCACACTTTGTCCCGAACGAACCTTGTCTCAATGTTCACTCATGTGAAGAAGCATCTGGCTCATGCATGTCCAGGTCCTACAGTCTACCTTTACCAACACGCTGAAGCATTCAGGAGCGCTGCACATGAGCCATAGTCGAAACTCCTAGTATCCCCTTTAATAATCCCTATAGTAGCCCCCTATATAATCCTTTATGTAAGCCCTCTTTGAGGAGTTTAGACTCTGGCACAAGTAAGGATTCGGCTGCCCCACGGCATCTCCTGCGGCAAAGCTCACAACCTGAGGCTTCATCCGTACACGCGCACACGCCAGAGCTGAAATGCCGTGTTCGAGACGCGCAAGCTAATCAAAGCAGCAGCAAAGTCGCATCCGGGAAAAGATCTGTAAGCATTTGAACCAGGTTGAACCCTTTGAGTGCTGTGCCGTGGTGTCTCGGTCGAAATCACCATTGGCCTTTTGCAGCGGCTGGTCCGCCCAGCCTGGCCAGACCCCCAACACCCCTCAGCACTTTATGCGGCACTTCAGCCGCCTTGTTAAGCTGAGCCGCTGACCTACGGGGATCGCCTGGTTTTGGCAAAGGTTTGAGACATGTCTGACATGACATTATCTTGCATGATCCAACGTACGGCGAAAAAGCGAGGCTTGGAAGGCTAGGACAAGGAATCACCAAGGCAGCATGCTCAGTCGCTGGCCGTGCTACTTCTCTGCACTGCGAATGTCTGATGTTTTCTGCAGGCCTGCTTGACAGCTGCAGAGAGCTCTTGCTTCTTTGGTCCAGCTTGAGCTTGTCTCCACAAGCTTGGGTAAGTTCGGATGCACTTTCTCTTTCCATAAAGGCGCCGACTGGCCAGGCAATGCGATAGTCGCAGTCTAGAGCTAAATGGGACCTAAGCAATACGTGCCAGCTGTCTTTGTGCCTCTGGCAGGCAAAGATGCAGCAAAGACACCTAGTTTAAAAGACCGGTTCTGGACCAATGTACTTCTGACATGCATCGGACCGTTTGAATTGCTGTGCACCTCTGCACCATCTCTCACAACAGGCTGCTGCAAAACTCACATCGCCTCCTCCGCAGGTTGCTAGACAAGGCTGAAGCATGTTAGTACATTTCATTAAGTGCGGACCGTGAACCTGGTGCTTCTATGGCGTACTCACTCAGGGATGCACTTAGCATGCTTGCCGTCATCAGGAGCTACACGACTGTCCCCGTCTCTGTCACCAGGAAGTATGACAGGAACTATGCCATGAATGCCGGGACATTCCATGGAACAAGCAGAACAAGCACGTATCTTTGAATTCCAGCCTCGGCAGGAAGGTCCGCACCAACATCCGCACTGATGCCCAGAAGTCTGTTGCGTTCTTTGTTGGCTCTGTAGATGGCTCTCCTCATGCGTGGCATAGCTATTTTCGTGCAACTCGATATTCTGGATCACTCTGGTTAAACCAAGTCGAGCTATCAGGCATACATGATCAGTCAAATACTTTGGACATCCAGCTGTGCACTTGTCATGAGACGGAAAAATATCTATCTGAAGGCAACAAGGTGCTCTGACTCAAACACGAACGAAGACCGACACCGAGGACTGCCCTGCTACAGTAAGTGCGCTTGCCGCACATCTTGCAAAAACTCGAAAGAAGGAAGGTTTGAGCTCAAGGCTGCGGATCCCCAATGGATACTTCTAGGAGCTTGCTCAGGCAGCCGCGAAACCTCATCCTGCACATCTCCAGTCTGCTCTGGGCAAACCTTTAGAATTGGTTTTAAGAAAAACCACCAGACTTAGCTCTCTTCGTGAAACTGTGGCGTTGTTGCTTGTAAACTCGGCAGCAAGAAACGGAGAGTGCAGAGCATTGTAAGCTGTTCCAAGCATGCTCTTAAGCGTTCTCAAGCTGGGCTTTCCTTATTCCAGGAATGCTTGTCACACCGGCCATGCCGCAAACTTTGCGCACATGTGCTCTGCTCAACTGCCTAACATGCTGGAGGCTCTTTGGCAAAAAATGCAAGAAAGAGTCTTATCCATCGCCGAAATTACGTCGGGACCGAGTGCAAAAATGCGGTCCAGTCTGCGAAGACGTGCTTGAGGTTCAGCCGTGGCCTGACACAATTGGTGCAGCAATCGCAGGAAGGCTTGCGCGTCCACCTGTCCCGTGCAAAATCCAGCTTCAACTTATTGCTGGGTGCGCACACTAATGCTCAAGCTTTGCCGGCCAGGTCCCGGGCAAGAGCTGTTTCGAGCTCGCTCTTGGCACCTTCGGGAATGTGGCTGGCAGAGAAAGCCATTGGCTTGGTAGTGACAGCATGCTAGCTATTACAAAAAGGCTAAGCAGTCTTGGCACGCTGAAGCTTCACGCTGAAAGAGGTCGCTGTCGTCAGCGAAGATGTCGATGAGCTGTACTGCATGGGTTCGTGCCAAGCCTAGACAAGGCAAGAATGTACTTAGGCTTGTGCAACCTCCCACAGGCTGCTTGCAATGCTCTGGCCTGTCTTGTCTCAAAGTGTTTGCCATCCAGCTTGGGCCAAAGAAAAGGCACATCGTGAAACACACTGTCTTGTGCAACGTCTTGGATCAAGTTTGCTGTGAGATTCACGGCAGCATGGCAAGTATGGACGGTGCGAAGCAACCGCAGTGCCTGGCTGCTGCACCTGGCTGAGGGCAGCATCAACCTCGAAGCAGAACCGTAGGTCCAACAGCTCAACTGCTGCAACCTCCAACTCCAGAGTGACAGCTCAAGCACCAACCCCCATGGGGGCCGGCTGACCACTTCCTGTATCGAAAATGACTGTGAATCGCTGTGGCGGCGTCCCGACCTCGACATAAAGGACAGCCATTGATTTTGTGCCCTTCTAGTTTCATTACGACAAGCTTCTGGGGTCCGCACGTGCACTTCGCCATAGTACTGCAGCGCATGCAACTGCTGGGCCTTTCAAGAAGTGGTGGACACACGGTGGGCATGGCCTCCGTGGGATTCTGTCTTTATTCTTGCTTTGTGCCTGGGGTTGGGCCATCCTCCTAACTGTGGAAGACGAATGAGAATAAATTCCGTCGTTTGGGGATCGTGGGGTCTTGCTTTAGGGGGACTTCGATTGGCTTGGTTTCAGCAAGAAAGGGATTTGGGCGAGAGGTTGGCTACCTCCTCCCCTGCACGCGAATGACATGCAGCGTCAAACGCCGCTTCCCACAAATAGAATACCGCCCAGCAGGCCACCAAGACGGCAGAGACTGAGCCCACGAGAACCGCCGAGATGATCGCCGGTGATCGTCATGAAAACAGGCTGGGGAGATCGCGGCAGAGACGGCACCGCGGACAGGCTGGAGCCACCGCCACGATGATTCCTGCAATCACAATTACCTGTCGGGGCACCCAGCACAAGATGCACGAAAGACTGAGAGCGTACATGGCCCTGTTGGCGGGTGCGGGTGCGTGGTCTATAGGTGGCTTCCCGCCCGCGGTGAAGAGCCATGCGGACAGCTCGACATTGACCTTCTGCGGGAAGCTGTTGTCATAGGCTGGGAGCAGCGGCGTTTCGTCGGCCACCACACCATGGCTGAGGTACAGGATGTGACGCTGTGCGGCGCGGAAGGAGACGTCCTTCCGCAGCATCATCGCTGTTTGTCTGATCTGGAAGGTCTGGATCGCACACTCGCACACTTGTTCCGGAGGGTCTAGATCATGACTTCTTCATCTTCTTCCGATCTGTTTTAGGAGCATGTGACTCCAAAAATGACGATTATGCGGATGGGTCCCCGCAGTATGCAACAAAGACAAGTGAGTTATGCTACAGGAAATGCATGTTTTGGTCTGGAACGCATGCGGAATGGGGTATGGAGCGAATCTCTGATTCCAAAATAGTAACAATTCTCCTGCCACCTCCACTAACATGATCCAAACAGCGTGGCCTTTTATATGATGGATCGTGAATGGTGGCATCCGGAACGGAATTCCAGAACTTGTTCCGGATGTCTAGATCGAGGTAGGGATCGGGATGTCCACTTCCCTAGTTCCGGAGCAATAATACTGGGATGTCATGTCTGGGCGGCACTGTGCAGTAGCCAGTTCTCTCTCGCACAGCATGAACCACAGGGAACCACAACGGAAGTTTGATGCCACGGCACGAAGTCGGCGGCGAGGTGGGTAAGTCAAGCGGTGGAGGTTCCCGCCATCTCAGCGACCAATGCAGCTGTCATCTCGTTCCAGTCATTCCCAGGTCTCTGTTTTGACTAATCTCTTTCTAGGGCGCTGTGCAGGGAACAGTCTGAGGCGGACGCTTCTCATGTCACACGTCATGCACCGTGTACTTCATTGCTGCGCCTTCCCATACGGCCATCAAGACAGGACGTCTCAGGGCGTTCCCGCTTGACATTGATGCTGTCCCAGTTCCGATCTGGATTAGCCCCAACACGAGGCGTCGACTTTGCCGAAAGCAGCCCCTGTTGCATCCTCGGTCCCTGCTCCCAAGAAGCGTCAGGCTGTTAAAAGCCGTAGGGAGACCGTTGTAGTTGTTGGCGCCGCATGGTCTGCTTCCGAACAGCAGGAGCTTGATGCCTGTTCGTGCTGGCTCCACAGGCATCGTGTAGTGAAATGCATCCTGCGCAACCGGTCTGTTTCTCAGGGCAAGCACGTTCTCATGCCTTTTCACTGCAGGGAGCCTGCACGCCGCAATCTTTGCAATCGCTAAAAATGTAATTTCATTCGAGCCCATCCTTGAGGATTGTGAACTTGGCGCTGACACCGGCGCTCAGTAGGGATCCAAGCGCGTGAGTGTGCAACTTGCTAATGATTATAACACGCGGGCCGAGCAACAGCATCGCATCGTAGTGCCCGCCAGTCTTGATGACCAACTTGTCTGCAGTCTGTTCGTTTGTGTGGAGCCTGGAGGATGGAGGCTGTTGTCTTTCTTTGGCAATCGTACCTGTCCGATGGCACGCTGAAGCCGCGCTTTTAGGTTCGGGGTTGTCCACCCTTATGGTTCGACCTTGCCTGTTGAAGGGTTTGGTCCTCTGGCATTGCCGCCATGCCGCTGCTTTTGCCGGCTCAGTGTCTGTTGCGCGCAGAAGTGCTGTAGAGCAACTACTTAAGGCAATGCTTCTGTGGTTCCTAGGGTTTTGCTTTTGGCTGTTAGGCCCCTTCCATCCCCTTCCCTTAGTTTTTCTGGGTGTTCCATTGTGCATGCTCCGGGCTCGGGTGTGCATGACCATCCTCCCTGGATGGACGATGAGGTTCACCAGGCATCATCCACGCCCTGGCGCGTGGGCCCCGGCACAGATTGATTAACAAGTATGTCAGTATGTGACGCACTGCAACTGCAGCTGTCGGTGGGTCGCCGCCCTGTTACTTTTGCTGCGCTCGACCTTTCCTTTATCTCCTGGCGACATCGCCACCGTCCTGTCGGTGCTGGCAGCAGCGCGGGATGAGTTGATCGCCAAGGTGGCCTTGCGTTTCTCGAGGAAGGTCTCGTCTTGGAGCGCGAGGCCGTCGAATACACACATATTGTCGGTGATGTGAGTATCTGCAGCCCGGATAGCGCAGCGCGAAAAACCAAGGTAGCAGAGCGCCATCGAACTGATCAATGATCATACTTTTAGTATGAAGAAGAGTGTAGAAGGTCTGAAAGATAGATACTCAAAGTGATCTTAACAGTAACGATTGCAGCCGCACTCTCTGTAGTGGTGAGCTTGAGATTTGAGGGCCCCGAATCCGGAGCTACAAGTATTGGAAGCCACAGATGAAAGGAGCCAAGAAGTCATCAAGCTCGGGAGCCAAAACAAGCCTTAAAGCCAGGAGCCGGGACCCAAAAGGCGGCTATGTACCGGGGGGGTTGCCCTGTGCGCTTCATAAACGAGTGTAGCGTCAGCAAGGTGCATTGAAAAGAACACGGCACCTGCGCTCGCATCTCCGACCTAAGCTCTGTGTGTCTCGTTGAAAGAGACGCACCGGAATCGAGATTGCAAGGAAGGCTCTCAACTAATGTTCAGGAAGCCAAGATGCATGGCAGCGGAGGATTCTTCCCGCAGCAAAGTTGCATTCTGGGACAACCGAGTACCTGATGCTTCAGTGCTGTTTTCCTGTCTTCGCGTTCCAGTCAACGAGCAGCGCACCGCATGCAAATGACTTCTGTGGGAGCAGACAATGCTAAAGCGAACATAGCATCGGTAAGCTACGCACTGATCAGACTGACCGGGACAGGGTGGAGGTTGGATCGTCGAGCAGCCCTCATGGTCAAAGCGGATAGTTTCTGCCTCGACCTCTCCCCAGAAAATGGGCATGGCCTGGACTCCCCTGACTCCACTTGAGGGCAGTGCGTCATTTTTAAGGGCACCGTGTAAGAGCCCTGGCTCTGCGATCTTCGTAGTCTTAGCTGTCAATGCGCACACAACAAAAATAGCAGAACGGAAGTGTCTGAGCATCATGCAGCCTGCTGGCATCTGTCAAGATGGCCAAGAAACACACCTCGCTAAAGAAACTAGCTGGCTCCGATGCTGTCATAGTTACGTTGACAGACAAAAGGAGGAAAGCCATATGAACAAGGAAGCTAGGATTCCAACAATTAGCTTCATTGAGGTGCAGCCCTTTGCAATCCTCGGGCAGCGGTCTCATAATTGCCCTGGCTGAAGTCAACCGTTTGGACCTCGCCATTGTCTCCCAGTCTGCAGGAGGCCTCGTCGGGTTCAATGCTCGACACGGTGGAACTCTCTCATATGAAAAACGATCATGAGAGTCAAGCGGCGTGCCACTTTGGCTGCAAGCAGGGTGCCGCAGCTCCCGTGCTAAGGGCCGAAAGATGATTGCATGCAATCAAGTTCTGGCGTGCAACACGTTTGGAACTACCATGTTTGCGACGCATAGCCACGTAAAAGCAAGCCTCTGATGTGGAGTAACACTTTCGATTGCAGCACGTTGCAGGATCAACCCGCTGGTTGGAGTATGTGCTGGCAATGGAGTGCAACTGGTAAGGCCGACCAAACAGTTCTAGAATTCTAGTTGCCCCCTTTGTCCACGGATATCGGGCTGTTCATGAGTCCGATGCACGCCAGGGGCCAGCACTTCGGAGATCATGACAGCATTTCTTGATCACATGCATGCTGAAAATGTTGGCAATCATCAGGGCTACCACGAAGCACTACCTTAGTCACTACTTGACACATCCTAGCGCAAGGACGTCTCACGCTGATAACCCAAACACAGATATTTATGTCCTCCTAATATCAAATAGACGTCGTCCCCCGTCCCCCCCCCTAATGTATTTACTCCAACCCGTATCTAATATTAGGGGTGTATTTATCGGACGACCCGAACATTAAGGGGGGTCCTATTTGAAATCTGATTAAAACCGTATAAAATTCGATATAAGCTAATTTCGATTTCAAATTAGGGCCTTTTTCCGAACTATTTGGGCTTCAAGGATTTTCAAATTAAGGCCTCACTAGGGACTATTTCAAATTAGGGCCTTATGAGGGACTACTTCAAAGTTTGGCCTTATTGGGGACTATTTCAAATTAGAGCCTAGGGACTATTCTTAATTGGGGCCTCATTAGGGACTGCTACGGCAAATTTAGGGCCAATTAGCGATTTTTCCCAATTGGTGCCTTGGAATCTGTTTCTGGAAATTGTGTATTCACAATTCCTTTTCAGAAGCCCATTCAAAAACAATCAAAATCTAGGAAATCAAGGAAATCCCTAATCCTTAAGAGTCGTGCTAGGGACCACCCCCTATTCAGAGGATCGGAGCTGCAATTAACTTGAGTCTTGGCCCTTTTGAAAGTAGTCTTGGGGGCAGATTTGGGGTGTTTAACAGTAGGGGCTGTAGCACGTTGCGACTGGAATCCGCTGCAACAACCGTGAGACAATAACAACACGCAAGCGGTGCTAAAAACATGGCCAAAATCTGTACCCTAAAACGGCACACAATTCAGCTGCGAACCCGGTGACCCTAGGTTTTCAACCTGCCTGAAATTTAAACTTTCAGAAAGACGGCGAGAGTACGGCGAGGGAACTGCCCTCTTCCTCGCTGACTTTCGCCTTGCAGTCGCCTGCCTACAGTACCTCTTCTTGTCGAACCATAGCCACAAACCCGAAACTATTGAGCAAGGCTGGAAAAGGGAGGCATCATCAGCGCATCAATTTCAATGCCCCACATCACATAGAACATCTCCTTTTATCTCTGGCAAGGTCCGGTAAGGTCCCAAATTCAATCCTTGACCCGCAACACCTGTGGCTCCTAAAGTACTAGAGACCAACAATCCTAAGACACCCAATCGCCTCCTGGTCCTTGCCGACACTGTTCTTCACGTTCTTCTTCTCGCGAGCCTAGCACATGAAGGGCCGGCACCAAAATCCGGCAAGATACGCTAGTTTCCATAAATCGTGGACTCGTGGGCCCCAATAGGGCCCAAACACAAAACCCCCAATACACTCTAATTATGATCCTACTGGGAAACCAAATATGGGATTTTCAGCTGGCCTCCCTTCTCTTGGCCGTGTCGGCTTTCTGGCGCTCTGCCTTCTTGAGGGCGTTGTCCTTGCGCTTCGCCGCCTGCTTTTTCCAGAATTCCTCAGCCGCCTTCGCATTTTTGGCATCGCGTGCCCTCTGCTCTGCCTGCAACGCCTCAGGCAAGATAAAGCAAGTGGGGCGGATACAGTACCAAATAGACAGTGCGTGTCGGGCTGCCACGCAAAAAGGAATCGCTGAACTCCAAGCCAGGGGCAGAAAACCATCGAGCAAACTTCGACTGCGCTGTCTCGGTATTGGCTGGCGCACAGCTGGTCAAGATGTCGTATGCCTTGGTACGTTTTGCGCAGGGGGATAGCCAGAAAACTGCTCGGCTGCGCCCTATGCCTCAGCTAGGACCTTGAACTTGTCGGCAGCCTTCTCCTTCATGACAGGAGAAAAAACATGGAAAGTCACGGGCTTGTCTCTCCTCATTGCCCAGATTTTTGTCCGGGTGAAAGACGAGCGCTGCCTGGTCAGCGGTGCGCTATCGGTGCGAGTGCTGCAACAATTTATAGCAAGAAACGGCCGGATTCATGCGTTTGAAAACGTCATCCCGCTCTGCGCGAACGTCAAACTATCGGAATAGTGGCGCACTATTACTGCTCAAGAGGTCGTCGTTGTGTAGCACTCCAGGATATCCCTTGCGCTGGCATTCGTTGTTTTGAAAGGAGAGGGGCAAACGAGAAGAAAGCACGTTCAGAGACGGCAAGATGGCAGCGAATGGCACCGTCCGCAATCGGCAAACAGCAGAAACAGCAAGCAATCGGTGCAGATTTTAGAGTGAAGTCATATGAACAGCTCGAAGAATCGCAGCCCGTGCGACAAACTGCAACTGCAGACCTTTGGACTAATGACTGATTTACACGGGACAACCAACTAAACCATCCAAGAATCAATCTAGCACCTGTCCTTCCGGTAGGCCGCCCTGATCTCCGTTTGGCTGGCACCTGCTGGAACCTCGAGACATCGTTGGCTGACAGACATGGCTCAAAAATGTTGCTGCCCGGGCCCAGGCCCCCAAAATTCGACGGCACGAAACCTTGTCCATCGCCGCTTGCTACCGGCAATGGCTAGCGCGGTATAGCTACTCTGTTGGGTTGTTACCACCTGTTGCGCTTTCCAATGCCTGGCATTTGGCCCTGCAGCCCTACAGGCTCCGTGTCCATCCTGGAAGCCAAGTGCTACAAAAAAGCCGTTCAGTGTGGATTCTGAGTATATCGTGGAAGGCGTTAATGGCAGTGTGTGTGTGTGACTTATAGAGAACATGAGAACAGATAGAAAAAAGGCTGACACAGAAACAATCGATGTGCATTTTAGGCACGACTACTGCACTACTTGCCACAACGCCCAGGGGGCAACCATCAAGAAAACCATTACAGCTCACGAGTGGGAGCTGTCCCATGTGATGTCACGTGGGAGGATATGGACAGCAATTGCACACGCAATATTGGGAAGTTAAGGTTTCGCAAGAATGAAAAACTTGATAGGATCATGGAAAAGATCAGGCGAAATGTAGTATTGGTGAGTTTCCAGAATGAGGAGACCCCAAAAGTCGATTCTTAAAGGGCCCCCAAAAAGGGACCCTAATTTTTGGAAGCCCATGTAAACAACAAAGCAATAATATACAAACAACAAAATGAGACAGCAGGTAGGGACGTAAAGGATGGTACGCATATAGGAATTAAGCATCGGGGTCCTTGTTTCTGCGGTTTCAGCATTTCAGCGTCGGTTCTTCTTTGCTTCAGCAATTAAGCGTCGGGGGCCTTGTTTCTGATGTTTCAGCAATTTAGCGTCGGGGTGCTTGTTTCTGTTTTTTCAGCAATTAAGCGTCGGATAGCGTCGGGGTTCTTGCTTCTGCTGTTTTAGCAAGTACGCGTCGAGGTGCTCGTTTCTGCTGTTTCAGCAATTAAGCGGCAGGGTCCTTGTTTCTGCTGTTTCAGGAAATAAGCGGCGGGTCCTTGTTGATGCTGCTTCAATAATTAAGCGTCGGGGTCCTTGGTTCTGATGCTTCAGCAACTAAGCATCTGGGTCCTTGTTTCTGATGGTTCAGCAACTAAGCGTCGGGGTGCTTGCTTGTTTCTGCTGTTCCAGCAATTTAGCGTCGGGGTGCTTGTTTCTGCTGTTTCAGCAAGCAAGCGTCGGGGTCCTTTTTTCTGCTGCTTCAGAAATTAAACGTCGAGGTCTTTGTTTCTGCTGTTTCAGCAATTAAACGTCGGGGCCCTTGTTTCTGCTGTTTCAGCAATCAAGCGTCGGTGTCCTCGTTTCTGCTGTTTCAGCAGTTAAGCATCTCGGTACGTGCTTCTGCTGCTTCAGCAATTAAACGTCGGGGTCCTTGTTTCTGCTGTTTCAGC